CAAGCCCCTTCCTCAGCCCTTCTCGGATTCTCCACCAACACTGAAGCATGTGATCACCTTTTCTGTACAGGGCTCAAGCCATGTGGCCCTGTCCAACAATAAACCATCTTTCCAAGCAGCCTCCATGTCTCCAGTGTCTTCTTCCCCACTTGGAGCTGAACCCAGAAGGACATTTCTTTCAACATCTGGAAACTACATTGTATTATATCTGTGTATGTGTTCCCTCCAAAAACATTCCCTAGCAGTGGTGGGATTTAAATAATTTAACAACCGGTTCTCTGCCCTAATAATTTATTCCAACAACCAGTTCACCAACTGCTCAGAAAGTTAACAACCGGTTCTCCCGAAGTGGTGCAAACTGGCTGAATCCCACCATTGCATATAGGTAGTCCTTTCATAACGAAGTAACTGGAAGTGGAATTTCCATTACTAAGAAATATAATAGTAAAGTATGATGTCACGCGATTGTGCACTTATTGACAGAAATTCCAGCACTTTGGCTTGCTGTCGTTAAGCAAATCACTCTGGATTGTCACCACTTGAAACTTTCTGCTGGCTTCCCTATTGAATTTGTGTATAGGAAGCTGAGAGAGATGGTTGCACACAGCGATCACATGACCATACAATGCTGCAATGTCATAATCAGGAGCCAGTTGCAATCACGAGGGATATTGCAACAGTCAGAACGTCACGGTCATAAGTACCACTTCGTTGGTGTTAATATACAGTAGGTCAATAGTTTCTGAACAAGTGGTCATTAGGCAAAGATCATGGGTACAGTGTCAATCTGCAAGGATTTTGTACACAGCTGGACATAATATGATTGGTACTTAATTTTTGCATCATCTTTGCTTCCCTTTCCAGTTTTCACAAATATCCATGCTCTGCTAAGCGGGGTTTGGGAGAATCTGTTATACGTTAGCAACGAAATACATGAAGTTAAGCTTACCTGTATATCTGGAAAATAAACTTTCAACAGGGAAGATGTGGGATAGCGCGAGAAGAAGAACATCAGTTTAGCCTTTTTCAGATGGCCTGGGGTCAAAGCTTCCTGGATTTATTCTGGAGTCAAGGAAAAAAATATTTGCCCAACTTGGGGCTGTACAGCTATCTAAATGCATAGGACAGGATCAGTGGTGGGTTTCCATTTTTTTTACTACCAGTTCGCTCATGCGTGCGATGCCTCTGTGCATGCATAGAAGCATCCAGGCAGGTGGGCGGAGCCTCCTGCCACCGCCACTACCGGTTCGCCCAATCTGGGCCGAACCGGGAGCAACCTACCTCTGGACAGGATGTGTACCACCTATTGGGAATGCCTTACATTAAAAGCAATTTTTTCTGCAATTACAAATCAGCTGCAGACTGCTCTCATACAAGCCCAAGAAAGCATTTTTGCTTTAAAAGTGTTTCCAGGAGCAAATGGTACTTGAAAGCCCAGGTATGCTCCAAATCCTACTGTACTCCTCAAATCAGATATTCTGCACAGCACAACCAATGCTACATGTCCCCATGAGATTCCTTTCTATTGATGTGTTCTATATCAATACAATAGCAATGTTATCAGATGGGACATTGGGGGAAAAAATCTAGGATCTCATCTTGGAAGATGTGTAAAGAAATACAGATTAACACCTAAAGTGTGATGTCCCGGCCAGAACATAAAGATGCCCAATAGTGCCACTATAATGGAAATATTGTCTTAAACCTGTGCAATGGAGACTAGCAACAGAGACCTATTTTTTAATTTTATGCTTCATCTGATTGATGAAAGTAGAAATCAGTTAACTCATTGTCATATAAAAGTAACCTTGGATATATAGCCCAGTATTGTGTAACATTTCTCTCTGCAGTGACAGCTTACATTTTAAGCAGGCATTTACATTCATTTTACAAGAGTAGAATGAATTACCATATTTTTCGGATTGTAAGACACCCGACTATAACACACACCTAAATATAGAAGAGGGGGGGAGATTTTGGCCTCCGTATGTTGCATTCTCAGCCCTTGGGGGGGGCTTTGTTTTGGCCATTTTTGAGGCTTTTTTCTACCCATTTTTGAGGCTTTTTTCGGGCCATTTTTCCCCAAAAAAAGTTCTCCCCGAAGCCTAAAAAATGGGCAGAAAAAAGCCTCAAAAATGGGCAGAAAAAAGCCCCCAAAACAGGCTGAAAAAAGGCCTGAAAAAGCCCCCCCCCAAAAAAAAAGTCCAAAAATGGGATGTTCAGAGGCCAAAAAATGGCCAGTGGGTGGGTGGGGCTTTGGCAATATTCAGTCTATAAGACGCACAGACATTTTCACCCCCTTTTGGGAGACAAAAAGGTGCGTCTTATAGTCCGAAAAATACAGGTAGCACAATTCAGATTTTACATCAAGGTGATAGCATTCAAGCATCTTTCTTATAAATAATAGACTATTAATTTGTTTGGCAAGTGGCAACTAAAGGGATGTGGCTATAGGAGAAACAAAACATTTCAAAATGTTTTGGGGGGTTTCAAAGGGAACAATGTCTTGCCTTTTGTCTCTTACCTCTTGGCAAAAATAGGCTCAATCTTTTTTGTGCAGTGTCACTTTTTTAAGGAGGATAAAATGGAACAAATAAAGCCCTCATTTGATTCAAATTGTCAGGAAAGATTGATTCTAACCACTTCAGAAATGTTTGGGGAATATTAAATGGGTATTAATGAGTTGCATGCAAGCTGTCTCTCCTACCCTAAATTCAAAGAGGTTTTAAAGACCTCTAAAGGATATATTTCTTGCTGAGAAGTACACTCCATCCACCATTGCATGCATTTCAGCAAGCATTGGATTTGTAGAAGGAAGAGAAGCCAAACTTTCCAAGTGCGGTGGATATTGTTGTTTCACGCCTGATGGTTTGAGTTTGATTGGTTGCCATGGCACTTCTAAAGACTCAGGAGATACCATTCTTGGAGGACTGTTCCAATGGCCTTTTTGACCACAGAATAACATTTGACTAAGAATGCCATTTTCTTGAACTTCAGAGGTCAAGATCAAGGGAAAATTCTCTGGTGCCTGGCAAAGTTTTCTCTCTCTTTTTGTTTGGATGGGGTCAATAGGAAAGCCTAGAGATTTTTCTGCAATTAATGATATAGGACCTTTAGGAGAAGAAATCTTAGGCAGCCACTTACTGGGTATATTTCTTCCAACAGCTGTCCCTATGGAATTATTGGGCAACTGAGATGGAAGGCTTGATGATTTAGGCAAGATCTTTTTCAAAACTGAATCTACAGCGTGTGTCATTACCTGTGTTAATTCTTGTTTTAATATTTCTGAAAGTGTTTTTTCTTCCAAATTTTGAATGCCTGTATCTTCTTTCTCTGACAGCACAAGGTCTCTTACTCTGGGTGTGCTTTTCCATAAACAATCTTTATGCTGGTCGCAACACAACACTTGACTGTTGGTGTCTATCTTTCCACTATACATCTTCAACAAGCCCGTAGTTCTCTCTATACTTTCTTGGCTTGGATTAGAATCATTTTCCTTGTCACGTTGAAGAAACCTGTCTCCAAGTTGCTTCAACTGATGTTGCAAAGTATAGAGCTGTTTTTTCAGCTGAAGGAATTCTTCTGCTGAGATGCTGCTTCTAGGAGGTCTTGTTAGGGAAATTCCTGGCAAACTTTGCTGTTGAGGAAGTTTTTGTTTCCTCTTGTTCTGTCTACTACTTTCCTTTCCTTTCTCAAAATTGTTGTCCTGTTCCTCCAGAGTACCGGACACTATTGGGTTTGGCATGATACTCATTCCCTGGATAATATTTTCCACTCTAGCTCTCTTAGCTTGTAATTGTTCATTATGGAATTGGGTTGTGTTACCAAAACCATAGGTAGGCAATGGACTCATGGCAATAGCTTCCCTAGAAGATGGGTGCTCAGCTTTCTGTGAGCAGGGGAGAAGAAAGCTTATATCTAGCTCACTATTTACTTCTGACTGATTAAGAAGATGAGATATAATAGATTCATAATAAGGAGGGCGAAAAGAATAATTTCCTTCAGTACAAAACTCTCCTTTTTGTCCATCTACACATATAGAACTAGGAATATAATTATATTGATTAACAATACTATTCACATTCATAACTCTTTCTTCTTTCAGGACAATGAATTGATATCCAGTAAAACAGTGAAAATTGTAGAGGGAGATACAGCTTTTGATTTTGAGAGTACAGGTGCCTTGGGACTTTGTTTTTTATATTTTAATTAGCTAGGAATCTGGAGCAGAAAGAAAAGAATAAAATATATTTAGTATGTAAACACCTATGTGATTAACTGCAGTGTACAGTGTACAAATCAGATATTGAGGACTCTGCAAATAAAATAGTCAGTGCAAGAAAAACAAAACGCTAATCTACCTGTTGGTAGATTAAATGTTACATCTTGCCCAAGTTAGTAAGTTTAAAACATTCCTAATGAGAGGCTGGTAGATGAATATGAAGAAAGCAATCTTTGCTATCAGGTTCACAATGTAATAGGATTAACTGATTTATCACTGTATCATTTATCTTCTTGGATATAACTCTAGTATTTGGAATTTATCAAGATTTCTGGATATTTTGGACATGGGACCTGGAAAAAAAACCTATAATACAAGTAATCCTTGATTTAATGACCACAACAGAGCTCAGATTAAGTCAGGCAGTTGTTAAGTGAGTTTTGCCCCATTTAACAAACTTTTTGCCATAGTTGTTAAGTGAATCACTGTAGTTGTTAAATTAGTAACGTGTTTGTTAAATTAATCTGGCTTCCCCATTGACTTTGCTTATTGGAAGCTGGCTGAGAAACTTGCAAACTGTGATTACATGAGTTCAGGATAGCATCTTTCGCAAATACATGGCAGTTGCCAAGTGCCTTCATTTTCATCGCATGAAGGGTGGTGGTGGTGCTGCAACAATCATAAGTTGAAAACAGAAGTTACTTTTTCAATTAAGTTTGTAACTTCAAGCGTTCACTAAATGAATAGTTGTAACTCGAGGACTACCTACACAACATTGAAAACTGATGTGCAAAAATGGATTGTTGATATGCACTATTTGAATTGGTCTTATTTCTTTTATTGTTTTTCTGTCCCTTTTGTGTTTTTGATTAGTTTTTGACAAACGGGACAGGAAGAAAACATTATCATTTTTTGGGGAACTGTTTGTAAGTTTTCCCTCCTTTTTGTGGGGTAAAGTTGATATTATCTTGCATTATTCATATGTATATTTCGTTTCTGGTAATTAAGTTGAAACAATAATAAAGTAAATATAAACTATTCGTCAGTTAGTTTAGAAGGTTAGCAGAGGCCGATGTCATCAGTACTCAGATGGAAGACCACCAGAGAATGTAAGTACTGTAAACTAGAGTGAGAACTGAAAAACATCCAAAAGAAAGCATGGCTACTCATGGCTACATTGGATATCACCAGGAATCAAGCCATCCCATAATATTCTGAATCTGAGTTAATAGCATCACTCATGTAGATTATTAGCACACATCCAACATGTGCACAATAAGGAACATCAGCCAGTAACTCAGCTAATGTTTTCTTTGCACTAAGCATAAATCCTCAAAGCAGCAACACTAGCAATAGCAATAGCAGTTAGACTTATATAGCACTTCATAGGGCTTTCAGCCCTCTCACATACACATACTATAATAAAAGCTTCCCTCTTGAGAATATATAATACTTTGGATTTACTGTAGCCCAGTGTCCTGTCCAGAAATGGGCAGATCTTGGATACCAATCTAGATTAACAACAGTTGGTCATAGATATTACGGTCAGCAAGGTATCCAGCTTACAATGATAGATTGGCAGTACCTTCAAACTGCAGGAGATATCCATATCAAGTAATTTCTCTAATTTCAAATCCAAGGAATATTTGACCCAAATTCCTTTATTTTATCAGGTATCAAAGTTAGTTTTACTGGACCTCATCCATGTCTAGGTTGTATGTTGACTTTTCTGTTTCAAATGTCACTAAAAAGTATTGTTGAGTCTCATCAGTATTATGACAATATTTTGCAACCCTTGAAACTATTCTAAAATGAAAGACGTTTACTGAGGTTTTTTTCTTAATCTGTATGTATCTGCTCCCCTTAGGTACTTTTTCTGTAAGAGACTGCAGTCTTGTTGCTGAATTAGATTCCAAGAATGTGACTACTTTGGAATATGACATACATTAATTCAGTCTCCTAATTTATGCTCATTATGAATTATCACTTGCACTCTCATACCTTGCTTTACTGCTCTGAATGAAGACAAATATATAAGTATTTAAAAGTGAGTCATTTTCCAGTTTAAAGTTCTCTCCTAAACAACCTCTCAATATCTGGTTAGGAGGTTTTGAGCCACATCAAATAAGACAATGCCAATGATCAAAAATAACTTAAACTCAAAAGTAGCTAACCTCAGAAGTACAGTTATAAAAATAATACAAAAAAAACAAATTTACAAGAGAGCATGACACATGAATTTACAAGTATATAAAGTCAAATTTTTAAGAAGGGAAAAATATTGCAGCATCCCTCCACCAATAGACTACCCAACATTGATCCCTTTCTTGTGTTCCCAGACATAAAACACTCACCTTGGCTTCCTTCTCCTTTGAAAGCATCTGAAGCCTGCTGTTAAATGAGAAAGGGGCAGAGTTGTCAACAAAGACCTCCCAGTGATCACAATATCAGAGTCACAAATAGGGAGTGAGGGAAATCAAGAACAGCCAACCAGTTTGAGGAGCCTATGAATATGCAAAGGAAACCAAAATCCATGTCTTCTATTGCATTTTCTCAGTACACAGAAAGGCTTGAGATGCTATAGTTCTGAAGTGTGTGTGTGTGTGTGTGTGTGTGTGTGTGTACACATGTACACACACATACTATAGTATAGTATTAGTAGGGTAGAGTGCCCCTGGACAAATAGTATTATTAGTTAAGAATCATTGTTCCTAGAATGCTTGTGTTTAGTGGATATTTTGTGACAAACAGATGCATAGAAAAATGAAGGCTTCGGTGGGGAAGTGTTATTATTTTGCATACCTCAATAACATACAATGAATGACAATTGTTAGATAACAAACTGTTGCCCTGGTTTTGGCTGCTATTCCAAATACGCAACTTCTGTCTTGCTGATTATGTCCATCATGAATGCATTGCAGATTTTCTCCTGCTTCTGCCAACACAGGGTTTTGCATGATTTTTTTTAAATACTGTTTATGTTACAGGGATGGGGTGAATGCCATTTTGGCTATTTCCAATATTAGCTATGGTCACTTGCTGCCAGCATCATCAGGGGCATCCATGGGGGTTGAAAAAGTCAAAATGTCAGCCACAACTATGCAGTCTGCTTTAACCCATTTTTGTGGAACACATGCCAAAAGAAGTGGGTTTACAACTGCATGGTTGTGCTTTAACTTTAATTGTTTTA